AGGTGCAGTTAGCCCTGCCAACCGTGACCTCGTATTGTCGGCCCATGTTCATCTTGGAGTCAGTAATGACTCCAAGATCCCTTTCTGCCTCCATGCTCTCAAAAAGGTCGTTTCCCATCTTATAAGTGTGCTGCTGGTTTCTACTGCCTAAGTGCAGCACCCTGCACTTGTCAGTATTGAAGCGCATCCTGTTTTTGCTAGCCCATCCCTGTAACCTATCCAAGTCTTGCTGCAGTCTTTCCCTCCCAACTAGCGTGCTCACCTCACCCCAAATTTTGGTATCATCAGCAAATTTAAACAGGTTGCTTTTCACCCTGTTGTCCAAATCACTGATAAAGAGATTGAACAGCGCGGGCCCAAGAACTGAGCCCTGGGGGACTCTGCTGCCCACTTCTCCCCAGGTTGAATATGACCCTTCCACCACCACCCTCTGAGTGTGAACCTTCAGGCAATCTGCAATCCATCTGACTATGTAGGCGTCAATGCCACAGTTGCCCAATTTTTTAATGAGGATGGGGTAGGAGACAGTGTCAAAGGCCTTACTGAAGTCCAGAAAGACTACATCCACGTAGTCCCATGCATTAATTTAAAAAAAAACCCAGAACCTATTTTGAAAGTGTTAGAGTCACAATTCAGTAATGAAATGTCCTGGAGATGACTGGCTCGTTCAATGCAAGCTGCCAAAGTGCATGGAACTAAAGTTGACTTTGAAGCACTATAGGCAACAGACATTCTGGTTTTGCACATGCCCACAACTCCCCCAGACTAGACAGTTTTGGAAATAGGTGCCTATGTTCTTTGCTGGTTCTGGCTCTAGATCAGTATTCACATAGATTGGACTCTTCTCACAGTACTAATTGGAGAATGTTTCTCACTGAATTGATTCCTCCCACACCACCTGCTCATTTTTGTGAAGCCCTCACTCATGTCTGTGCCTAGCTGCTACCCTCAAGTAGGAGAGGGAAGAAAGGTAGACACATGTTGCAGGATTATTGCTCCTCCCTGTCTTCACTTCCTCCCTCACAGTGTCTAGTTTGGCTTCATTTCACACTAGGTATCATGGGAGACTGGCACAGCTTTCATTACTGTGACCATGAGGTACCTTTGAAGAGATTCAAATAATATCACTGTACATGGTCCCCTGGCCCTTCACATTCTGTCATTCTTTTCTTTCCACTTGGGAGAAAAGCCCTAATTAAAACAAACTTTAAAAGTGCTATCTTCAGCATTTTTAAAGCAGCAGAATTGCTCCGCTGCATTACACATTATACATTTTTTCTCACACCAAAAACCCTTAGGGCAACATTCTTAATTAGTCAAGACATGAGATGCCAATGTGCATCCACTAGATACACTAGTGTAGGCAGCCTGCCACTTCTGCAACATGTAAAGATATACCACCTGACAAGCCCTGCTGAAGTTCTTCTGTGCTCTGTACACTGTGAAATTCCTCTCTACACTTTTTTTAAACTCCTGGCAGGCTGCATGTATATTAGCACTGCGGAGAGAATGGCTGGTAGAAACTGCTTCTCTAAACTTATCAGGAAGCAACACCCTAAATATCCATTTCCAGAAAAGGTCTGGCATAGAGGTTTTTACATAGTCAGCATTGATATACACTTTGGAGAGAGAGAAGGAAAGGAAAAGCCATCTGTGTAGGTCAGGGCTGATATCACAGATCAGCAAATGTCTCATAAGAGAGTTGATTAGCCTGTCTCTCCCTCTCTCATACACATCTAACTTGCTGGAAATGAGATCAATGCATCCAAATAGCTTGCATGTGGTCCTTTCCCAGAGACGCTATTTCCCAGAATATTAAGGGATAATCAAAGGGTTTTTTTCAGTTAAACATTAAATGGGAAAAATAATTGGGAAGCTGGCTGCAGGATAGGACCCAGAGAGTTCTACTGAACGGATCTGTCATGTCTTAGCAAGAAGTGCCCAGTGGTGTCCCTCAGGGGTCGGTGCTTGGTCCAGTGCTTTTTAACATCTTCAGCAATGATTTGGATGTGGGGGAAGTTATGGGGAAGCGTGATCACACTTGAAGTTAGGCTGCAGATACAGGCAGACCTAGACAGGCTGGCAAGTTGGGTGGATCGGAACCAGATGAGATTTAACTTTGAGAAATGTAAAGCGCTCCACCTGGGGACAAAATCCTCTGCACACCTACGGGCTTGGCAACATCAATCTGACTAGTACTATGAATGAAAAAGACCTGGGAGTAATAATAGACCGTAGTATGAACATGAGCCGGCAGTGTGACATTATAACCAGCAGGGCAAATAATAGTCTGGCATGCATCAATCGATGCATCTCCAGCAAAACCAAGGAAGTGATTCTCCCACTCTACTCGGCGTTAGTGAGACCACAGATGGAGTACTGCCTCCCAGTTCTGGGCGCCACACTTCAACAAGGATGTGGAAAAGCTTGAGAGAGTACAGAGAAGGGCCACCCATATGACCAGAGACTTGCACGGCAAGCCATACAAGGTAAGGCTGAGGGACCTGGAACTCTTCAGCCTGAAGAAGAGAAGGCTGAGAGGGGACTTGGTAGCAGCTTACTGCTACATGAGGGGTGTACATCAAGAGCTCAGTGAACAACTGTTCACCAGGGCACCCTTGGGGAAAACCAGGAGCAATGGTCACAAACTCCTGGAAGACTGCTTCAGGCTCAACATTAAGAAAAACTTCTTCACAGCTAGGGCGTCCAGACTGTGGAATAAGCTCCCTCCAGAGGTGGTGCAATCACCTACCCTGGAAATCTTCAAGAGGAGACTGGACGGTCACTTTGCTGGGGTCACTGACTCCAGTTGTCTTTCCTGCTTGGTGCAGGGGGGCTGGACCCGCTGATCTTCCAAGGTCCCTTCCAGCCTTACAATTTATGAATCTATGAATTCAGAGGCTTATACTTTCCATTAAAATTTCCTATCACTGCTATAGAAAGACTGTGCCTGTAAAGGAAATACTTTTGGGATTATATTTATTCACTGAAGCCCCACTTTTCACAGGCTGTAATCTTGACTTGGGCACAGAGTATTTTTGGATCAACTAATTGAACTAATTAAAAGAGAAAAAGAAAACAGACCCCCTCAGCACAAATCACAAACCAAGCACAAAGGCATGTTTTGAAATAGATGAAGAACTACCTAAATTGGCCCTAAAAGTGCTTGTTTTCCCAGGTCTGCTCCTGAGTGGTGCTCAGTTCCTCAGAAAGAGGTGAGGACCCCCAGTATAATCTGATCCTAAGGAAGCCTTGAAATGTTTTGAGGGCTAGTCTTAGTTACTGAATGAATTTGTACACTTGTGAATGGGTGGGTGATAGCACTGGCTCCAGCAAACCACAGTGTAATCAGATCCTGCATCAGCTTTTCCAGCCAGATCTGCACATCAGCCCTGACTGCGATTCCTTTGCTTTTTTGAAAACAAAAAAGAGAATATTACTTTCATGATTAATTTGGTGACCCACCGGTATGCAAAACTATCCAGCCAAAGCTGAAGCTAGATAACAAGCAAAGGGAAATATGTGACTGGTAAAGAACAGAGCATTTCATTTCAAGATCAGACATGACACCAGCCCAGATCAATAGCACTTGTCAGTTATCAGATGGCTGTTTAATGCCCCGTGTGAGTTTTTTTTGTCCAGTTCCTAATGGATTAAATCCACTTCACAAAACCATAATAAAAATCTGTAGCCTTGCTGGCAGTTTCAGTACAGAGGCCCAGGAAACAACTACTAAAGTGATGATTTTTAATTGTTTGTACAAGAACCCTCCAATTCAAAGAATAGCTGAGGAAACTAGAACATTACAGGGCCAAATTCTCTAGCCCCATCTGGCCCTTTCATGCCAATCAGCTTTCTCTCCAAGGGAGCTCATGTAAGTTAAGAACAGGCAGCTCCTGCTCAAGCTATCGCCCCCAAACCTGAGGAGAGGCAAGAGGCATGTAAAGGATTGCTCAGGGAAAAGCAGAGCTCCAGTACACTGATCCTCAGTTGCCTTACACAAGAGTAGCTCCCAGTCTACTCTATCACCAGGACCCGGGTTGGCACTGAAGAACTGTAACCATATCCATATCAGCCCCTACTTCCTAGAACTTAATCGAGCTTGAAGGCATGGGGAGGGGGTGGGGAAAAAAAAAATCAAGCCTGATAATTCAGAAAGTGAACTTTTTTGGCACCAGACTATTACTGTATTCACTAATCTCCATTTGATCCTCACCTTTCACGTTGCACTTGAAGGTCTGGCTTACTACTCCAGTATCATTTGCTTTTTCTGCTGGCCATTCGTAAACATAGACAGTAGTCCGAGATGATCCGGCATCGAGCACTATTCCATACTGAAAAAATGGTTACAGTTCAGAGTCCAGGAGTTTGCCAGTATTTTGTTTTTTATAAAGCATTCCATGACTTTCAATGTGTGTCATTGTGCCACAGACGTGCTTAATAAAATAAGAATATTTTGACATGCAATTGATACCGACACACGCAGCATAAACCAGACAACTCCTTAAAAAAATTGCAGCACATAGAGTCATCTTTGCATCTCTAAATACAAACTCAGTGAGAATGGAAAGAGCACTCTACCTTTCAGGGTCAGGCCCAAACTCTGCAGTGAGGCACATGAAGACTTTGTAAAATGTAGATCACCCCAAATCACTGCTGAAGTCAATGGGCAGTGAGTGTGCTCAGTACATCACGAGAACAGGCACACACACATGACTATATGCCTCATAGGAAACCCAATTCCGGTACTACTATTTCTAGTCCTTACTATAGCTTCCAGGTGTGGCACTATGTCCTGTCTCTACTACATACAAATGCTATCAAGGCAAACTTCAATTGTCTTCTACAGCCATCATAGTCTCCACTCATCCCTTTCAGTTTAACAAAAACTACAAGAACAGAAGAAGGCATGCTTGCTTGAGCTGCAGACTGAAGTTCTGTACAATAAATGGAATAATGAATGATTGTCTGGGATATTAAATTCTTTACAAAGATCTAGATGCCTCATATATCTCGTGAGATGTACCTACTCCCTTAGCAATCAGAACTGTAAATCTTGACTCTTAAGTGCTAATGTATAATTGTGCAGTGCAGTTAGGAGGCCCAGGATGTCCTGGGCATGAGCAGAAGATGACCTTTGTTGTTTCTTTTGAAATACAATCCAAATAAATAGGGTTAGTTCCTTATTTTGTAGCTGATTTGTAACTGGTACAAAAGCTGCTAATATCAATACTAGCACATTAGTGATGGGTTTGGCTTGCTGTATAAAAGTATTCACTATATGTGTAAGTTTTAATGCTTCTCTCATTATAGGGATATCTGAAAACCAGGAAATAGGATATTCTCAGTTTGGATTTACTCTCTGCTCCGAGAAACTAATGCTTGTCTAAGATAGTTTAGACAGGGATGATCCTGCACAGATTGGACTAGATGACCTCCTGAGGTCCCGTCCGCTTTTCTACGATTCTATTCCAGTCAATACCTGTTACTAGCAACACGGTGATTAGCTGTTGTTCCTAAGCAGCTCTGGCTGTTATAGGGAGTGTCATCTGGCTTCATGGTATACAGAGTGTCATCTGGCTTCATGCTATACAGAATATTCCCAGGGAAAAAATGCTGGTAAGAGGTTGCTGTTCTTATCAGTTGCTGCAATCAAATGTTAACTGTATGATTCTTTACTTGCATTACAATCTGTTCTAAAGTCCCCCTCAGATGAGGGCCCCATTGTGTTAAACAACATACATACACATAGTAAGAAAAAGTCCCTAGCCAAAAAAAATGTCTGCAGAGTAATATCATTATCAGAATAATATCAGGCTTACCAAAGTAATATCATCATCCCCATTTTACATGCACCTGGAAAGGGAAGATGATGGAGACCTCCCTTATCTGCTTCAGAGTTACTGAGTTTATTTACAACCCCCAGAATCTCATTGACAGGGAACTCATGATAACTGAGGACTTGGAGTTCCCATTGATACTCCTTCCTATCATCAATTATGCTTTTTAATGTTTTAACCCAAATGTGGGGGTTGTACCTCACTTTTCCAATTTATTTACTTGCATTTGAGAATCAGTGTCTGGCTGTGGCTGTTTTTACATTAAAAAATATCAGTCTGGCTTGATTACTTGTACCACTGACAAGCTGAGGCCTGATTTCCTTGTTCCCTTCCTCTGTTGCCTTTTCCTCTGTTCTTGTCATTTCTTCTCTTGTTCCCAGAAACATTCTATTTTTAAAGCATTGCTTAAGCCAAATCTGGGCTATATGGGAGAGAGTGAAACTGGGCTTCCTACATTTTAAATGCATTGTGGGAGTGCGGAAGACAGTCTGTGACTAGAACAACATAATTTTGAGACAAAGGTCAATCAAGAAGAGAATAGCATGAGGGGGTGGAAAGCTGGGGATCCCAAATACTCAGGGATGATCAGTATATCATCTATTTGGTACAATATATTGTAAGATTAGTTAAGAAAGCAAAAAGGGAAAACTGATCAAGGAAAAAGGGGGTGGAACTCCATTGTTGTCTGGGAGAACTGAGAATGAAGAAAAGAGAAACAGCCTGACGGAACAGAATGTTTCCATTTTCTGTCATGCAGCTTTTCCTGTTGCTAGAGGCACTACCATGGTTGTAGTCACCATATTAGAATTCTATTTTTCCCCCCTCACTTCACTGACACTGGTAAAATAGATTAATGGAGTAGATTCCACTGTCAGAAGTTTGTGTAATAATTTATGCCTGTACACAGTGGGTATAATACTTTACCATTCTAACCTGGTAGTGTTTTACACCCAGTGTTCACATCTACACATGCAATTAATTCACACGAATAAACTCTGGAGTTTATTACTCCGGAGTATATTCGTGCATAGCACGTGGAGTCTGGTCAGAGCAGCCTGGGCTGGCAGGTCAGCTTGCCAATCTATAGCTGCTCCAACCACGCTCCACATGCTGCAGACAGGCTGGCTGATGCACAAAGGTGCTTCTGCATGGGGGCTGCCTGCTGGCTAGCCGCATGCTGAAACACCCTGTGACCCAGCCAGCTAGGGCAGCATCTCCATGTGCACTGCTGTGCATGAAAAATCTCCACTTGTAAAGAAAAACTCCAAGCCCTACCCTGCTGTGGAGTTTATTAGCTTTTTGCACCTTAATAGGGGTGAACATGTAGACACTGAGACATTTACTGTGCAGTTAATTAGTCAAATGCACAGTAAAGGTCTCTTGTAGACATGCCCAGTGTGTACAAAAGCTAAATAAAGTGCAAGGCAGGTCTGATGTCTCTGATGCAACCTGCTGACCAGTTTACAAAGGCCTGGTCTATCTCAAAAACTTGCACAATTTAACTCAGTCTAGCTAAATAGATGCAACCCTGCAGAATGAACACAGGTAAAACAGTTAACCCTCCTTTAAATCAGCTTGGCTTAATTTGGTAATTTACTAATGCAAAATAAAATAATTACAGCAAAGGTGGGACCCACTTCCAGTATGTTCATATTGGGGGCTTGTTCCCGTTTAACTATATAGATTTTAAATGAATTTTAAGAACCACAATTGGGAACATGGTCAAAGCTTCTTGAATCAACCAGTTTGTGCCCACAGCTTGCTATTCCACATTCAGAACACAATCAAAAGCAAGTACCAGATGACAAAAATGATTTGACAGGGATAAAACTATAGGACACTTTAACTTGTGATTAAGAAGCTGTTTCTATCAATAAAGAAATATATTTCTAGGCATTAGGGCTTGCTAAATTCAAAGCTAGTGTTTTTAATACCACACTTATTTCTAAGTCGTGGTACTGAAGAATATTTACAGTTCCTTCATCATTCTTGTTTCACAATATTTGAACAAGTCTCAAGCCCTTTGAGTGCCCTAGCCTAAACTGATGGGTTAGTAAATCCTTCACAAATTACTGGATTAGAAAAATGAAAGTCTCAGCTCTTCCAACAGGCATGAAACCAAAATGACACGTGTTGTGTAATGCTTGCCTATATGTATAGTAGAAACATGACCCTGAAGGCAGAGTTTTATCAATGCACCTGGAAAAGTACTACTATGCAATAGCCCGTGCTCCAGAAGGTCATGTTATGAGTGATTTAGTTCTGTGCTTAGTTGAAGCAGAAGGAACAAAGTCACTTGTAAAGAAAAAGACAATAGTTTTCCTTTTTGCTATTGCCATAGCTATTTGATTTCAAGCAAGTACATATATTAGGATACTTTCATTTCCAAACACTGTCACATCAGCATATGTGTTATGGGCTTCAGTGACTGGTGTTTCAAGATCCTCCTTTCCTGCCAAAGAACCCAATCAGTCCTGCAAATGAGGAACATTTGTTGAAAGATGCTAGGCCTCCTCAAATCCAAATTCATGCTCCAGAGCAGCTGTACTTATGTGCATACAAACAGCTGGAAACCCTTGCATGAAAAGCTTTAGGGTACTAAAAGTAACTTTAGGCCACAGTAGCTATCACTTAAAAGCTGCTTATTCTAGGACATTACTGTATCTCAGGATCAAAGCTGTCCTTTCAAAACAACTATTTTTGATGATCACAGCTGAATTCTGAAGTGGTACAAAGGGAACAGAGTAGGACAGATAATGTACCTTCTTAAGTTTGTTCAGCAAGTCCCCTGAAAACATAATTTCCATAAACCTCAGTGCTACAGAAAAGTCATCCCTGACTTAGCCCTATGAAAAGGAATCATGATGAGCAACCATGGAATTAGCAATACATCAGCAGAGGGGCTTTATAAACCCATGAGGCACATCCCCACATACAGAGGCATGCACTTGAAGTGGCAAAAAAAGCAGAGGCACAAATTTGTGCCACTACTTTTTGCTGCAGTGCATGCCCCTACACATGCACTTTAGTGTGGGGCAAAAAGCCCCACCTTGGGGAAACTGCCCTTTCCCCACTCCTACTAGTTATGGCATACTGGAGGAGCCGGGGGATTACTAAAGGAGTGGAGATACTCTGTCCAGCAGTCAGAGCATCTCTCAGGAGGACCAAACCTCCGTGTCTACCAGCACATGCTCTTTTTGCATGTGCCATGCTGCTTTTTTCATGCCATTTTTTGCGCTGGTTTTTTGCTACCAGGAATTCCCGGTAACAAAATTTGCCCCTGTTCTAGGGATCTTAGAGAGGACTTCACATCAGCACTAGGTCAGGGTGGGACTGTTCTCCTTTAATGTGTTGGTAGCTGTACAAAGCACAGGACTCAAAGGATCTGAACTCACACTTTCTCAGGAAGGGGCTTATTTTTTATTACTTTGTTCTTAAGTATCAATTCTTCTAAGTCTGCACACATATCCTTTTAACCATCTTGCAGCTGAAAACAAGGTCTGAATATATCTTCCAAAGTACTTCAGTTAAACTTTTCAGATTTACACACCCTTTCACATGGGTATTGCTAGAAGGAAGGGTAATGGAGCTAACAAGTCCTAACTGGTGTAGTGACTCTAATTGCACATTAAGTTCCACATGATGCTTATCTGAGGCCAAAATTAGCCATTAGCTAAATAATTTCATAAATCATTTCACGAATTAACAACTTTTTATAACTACTAATGCAAAGCCTCAATCTGGACTGATAAAGGGAATTGTTTCTTCTCATAGAGAAGCTCAGATTCAGAGGAAGCATTGTTCAGTAGCTAAAACACTAAGAATGAGGGATGCTTCCCTCCCCCCAGCTTTGCCACTGCCTTTCTGTGTGACCTTGGGCAATTCATTTGGTCTCTCAGTATCAGTCTCTCTATTGGCAAAATAGAGACCATAATACTTAGCTCAGGGGATATATGAGACTCTAACTCTTAAATGCTAGTAAAATGTGTTGGGATTGTTACATAAAACACATCAGAGAGATTATCACTATTATTCTTTTAAACAACAATTTATCAAACTCTTCCATTTCCTTCTGTCCTTCAAAACATACCTTCAGTCCTGGAGAGAGGACCTCTTTTCGGTTGATCTGAATAAGTGTAATAGCAATAATAACAATGATGCTTAGAAGAAGGAATACCAAAGCAACAATGGTTGGACTTCTGGAGAGCACTCGGAAGCCTAAAATGAAAAGGGAAAATCCATATAAGGGACATTAAAGGCACATCCTACTCTTCCTCACTCTATTTGAATTCAGAGAGCTGAACCATAGTCCATAATAGGCAAAATTCCTGATGAATTCCCAAAGAAAGTATTATCCATAGATGATCTACAAAATTGGCAGCTACAAGAGTACCTGTGTTTTCTCAGGAACTCGCTAGAAAAGGTGCTTTGCACCAACTAATCTACCTTTGTAATGCAAAAGGATGTTTACACTTTTCCTGCAGTGAGTCTCAAGCAGTGTGCCACATGATCCTTTCAAGGGTGCCACAGGGTATTACACAGGATATTACACAACGTTACTGCTATTAGGTTTGCAAACATGTTTCACAAGATAAACCCAGACATTTCAAATAGGAATTCATAGTGTCAAAAACATTCTGACCGGTTATGGTCTTTCTGAGTTCTCTACAACAGAAGAATTGCTTTATTTTTTCATAGTCAAAAAAGAATTTAAACTAACAGGTGGAATTTTCCAAGGGGTGTCATGAATCTAAAATGATTAACAAAGACCGCCTTAGCCTATCGCTGAGAAACAAGCATCACCTTGCTGCTTCTATTCTGCACACACTGCATGCTGAAAAAGTGTTGTGTGCAGTTGCCATTAGAACAGCTATACATTGCTCTCAGGAGCACACCCAAGATTAAGATCCTAAGAACATCCACAGGCATGTTCCCAAAAGCTCCAGGCATGAAAGAACATTTTTGCAGTATTTTTCACATGCTGAGAGGGAGCAAGCATTGTTTCTCAGTCATGCCCTTGGGATCACTAGTATAGCCATAACCTCAGTGTCTTCATAGTAGTCAAGTAACACACAGTGCACTGTCTAAATATGATCCAAAGATGACTTAAGAATCATATAGCAGACACTGTCTGACTAACTGCATTAATGAAGTTCAAGATAGCTTTATGGGTGGGCAAGTACAAAGAGTATTATTATTATGTAGTGCCCAAGGTATCCTACATGCCTTACGCATGAGTAAGGGAACAACTGCCCCACCCAGAAGAGTTTAGAGTCAACCTAAGTGTAGATGTGAAAATTAAACTCAAAGGTAAAGGTTCTTTTTGTATGCTGTTTCTGCTGCCCCTAATAAGGTTTCCAAGGAGTTCAAGGAGGGTTTGTTTTGTTTTTTCATTACTGTAATTACTATTAACCCTTTATCTCTTCCACCAGAGGTGATCCTGCCTGGGCAAATGTCTCTCCTTATTCAGAAAGGTATTTCAGTGCCTCTGAAGCAATAACTTTATGCTTGCCCTGGAAGGCAACTGTGGAGGCACAGGGGATAGGGAAGAGGAGAGCAGAATTAACAGGCTGGGAGTATGACTGGAGATTGATGAAGAGGTGCATCATTGTCTCTGCATAGATCAAAGGGAAGATAATACTGGCAAAGGCAGTCTTAAGTATTCTCTAATACAGAGGAACCCCCTTAAAGGCAGATGAACCTTAGAAGCTATTATTGGGAAGCAATGGCAAAGCTGTAGGGGTCTCCAAGCTGGTGCAGAGGCAATAGGTTTACATATAAATGTCCATGGGACCCGATGGATCCTGAGACATCCATGGAGTCCAGCCTCCTGCTATCACAGGCAACCACATCATACAAACTCCATCTTAAAATAATTTGGGGATTTTTTTACTCTTGACAATGGAAGGCTGCTCCAACATAAGACTCCAATAGAAGACTGCTACAATATAATGTTCTTCTAGTTTCCAGGCTAAGTTTATTCAAGGCTAATTTATGCCTAATTCTTACATTCTTGTCCCAATATTGTCCTTTAGCTTAAATAGTTCTTCTTCCTCTGTTGTATTTAATCACCTTTATATATTCACGAAAAGCAGTCAACTCTTTTCAGCCTTTCCTTACCTAAGCTAAACAAACCAAGTTCTTCTACTTTCCTCTAATAAGATAGGCTCTCCATTCCCCCGATCATCTTTCTTTCTCCATACTTGTTCCTGTCTAAGTTCATCTGCCTTGAACCTGGGTGACCAGAATTGCAGTACAGTACTCCAGAGGAGGTCTTATCAGAGCCCTGCATAATGGTATTAATACTGTCTTTCCTCTCCTGGAAATACCTATTTCCTGACATTTCCTAGGATTGTGTGTGCCTTTCTCATGGTCACATTATACTGATGGGTCAGAGTCATCCAGTAACTGACTAATACATCCAGGTCTTTCTCTTCTTTTGTCATTTCCAACTGATTAACTCCTAATTTATAGCTACGTCTACTCTCTAAGTATACAATCTTGCACTTAGAAAGGAAATGAAATTCGTCAGTACATTTACTGGTATTCTCAAAGTCCAGCAGTTCTTCCTGTATGTTATTTAGATTCTCCTGTGTGAATGAGGGTGCTTCTCAACACTGCTATCCTCAAATAACATTAGCCTACACCTACTTGTTATTTTCATACCTACATGACTATGCACAAATAGTCATTGATTTAAAAAACAAAACAGAACTATTCATCATAATCATAGGTGCCAGGGCCACAACCTGATGAAAATATTAAACAAAACTGGTCATCACAAGATTAATCTTTGAGGAATTCAACTAGTAACCACCCACTGGCCTAGTAATTTCCTTGTTGATACAGTTTGTTGTTGTCTCCTCCTTAACCAGTTTTTTTTATCCACCTTGTGATTCTGATTTTAATTCCTATCTTCTCTAATTTAACTAATGATTACTCATTGATGAAGTCAAGATATTTTAGATATAGAGTCAACATATCAATACCTGGGAGACAGTGATCATCGCCTGCTGGAATTCACCATCCAGTGCAAGGTGGCAAAGGCGTACAGCAAGGCAGCAGCCCTAGATTTCAGGAGGGCAGACTTCAATGAGCTAAGGAGAATAGTCAGGGAGGCACTGAGGTCCTGGAGGGGAGGGGAGCCAGGTAACCAAGAAGGGTGGTCGCTCCTTAAGGAGACGATCCTCCAAGCCCAAAGGGAGGGATTCCCCACATGGATCGAAGGGGGCAAGAGGATGCAAAAGCCCCCATGGCTCACCAAAAGCATCTGGGAACATCTCCTAGCTAAAAGGGAGGCGTACACCCAATGGAAGGGAGGGGCCATCACCAGGGAGGATTATACTGCGGTTGCTCGGGGCTGCAGGGGGGCGATCAGGAAGGCCAAGGCGGAGATGGAACTGGGACTAACTACCTGGATCAAGGACAACAAGAAGTCCTTTTTTAAATACATAGGGGGCAAAAAGAAGGTACCGGGTAACGTGGGGCCCCTGCAAGACACGCTAGGAAATCTGGTCATCACACCAGACGACAAAGCTAACCTATTTAACAACTTCTTTGCCTCCATTTTCCTGAGCAGGGACCGGATCAGCTCCCCCACCGGTACCACCTCATGGTTCCCATCTTCAAAAAAAGGGAGGAAGGAGGACCCAGGAAACTATAGGCCAGTTAGTCTTACCTCGATCCTGGGTAAGCTTTTTGAGAGAATTATTCTGGCGCATGT